CACACACACACACATACACACCCTCCCTCCCACATACACACATACACACACACCCCCCCACACACACACATACACACAAACCACCCAAGCACCCTATCAACCTTAAATCACCCTCCTCCGGACAGCGTGACTACCACCCTCGCCCGCTCATATGTTACCCGTATACCCACGCCCACACGATATGCCATGCTACTATTTCTGACTCGGGGAAAGATTATACCTCTGACACCCAATCATTCACTTAGTCGAAGGGACGACCATGATGGACGTGAGGATAATACGCACACTCAGTCTCAGGCACACGTCCACATGTAACATGCACAGATACACTTACATGTGTATGTATCATATTCGCTGACACATATAATGTACCTTGTTACGTACGCGATCATACACACGTGAATGTATAGCTTACGTACAGTTGCATGTATACAAGTACACTTGATATAAACACGTGCACATAATCACATACATAATACACGCATAAAAAACAAACAAACACACAAAGACATAATCATATAGCTACACAGACTATAAAAAAGAAATAAGAAAAAAATGTTAATGAGATTTTCAAGCAAAGGAAAAAATCCAGTGAACAAATCATTAAACTTTTAAGCACTTTAATCTCGAGTCTTCATCTTACCATCAAATAAAGGAGAAAAGAAAAGGAAAAAGATAAAATAAAAGGCTGTCAAACGAATTTATAACAAGGACAAGCACCAATCTCAAAACAGGAAGACATACAGACAAACAAAAACAATAAAATCACAGTATAATTAGAACAGAAGGTGGGGGGGGGGGGGGGCAGATAAAAACAACTAAACAACACATAACAAGGCAATAACACCCCCCAACCCCCCAACCCCCACCCTCCCTACAACCCCGTGCCCTGAGGTTACAATCACGTAATATTACGGTCAGACAACAAGACTGTCTTTTCACCTCTTTCGTAACTATATATTGTATCCGTTTTACCCTCCCCCCCCAAACCTGTTATTATTTCCTCCACCCCCTCCTTCCTCTCTACCCCCCCCCTCCCCACCTCACGTCTAGGGTTCTCTTGATTTCACTTTTTCCTCTTTCCTTCTTCTTTATCTCGTTTTATTTACTCCCCCTTTCTCTTTCTTTTTCATTTCCTCGTTTCTATGTTTTTTCCTTTTCTGTTCTCGAATTTCTTTCTCTTTTATTCCTATTCCTTCTTCTTCTTTGTTTTTATCCTTCTTGTCTTTACTTCTTATGCTTCTCTCTTTTAGTCTATCGTCCCTCTCCTTTGTCGTTTGCTTCTAACTCCTCTTTCCCTCCTTTATCATCCCCTGTCGACCCCTCCCTTCCCCTCCCCTCCCCTCCCACCCCCAACCATCCCGCTACTCCCCCCTAGCCTACCCTCCATCGTAACTTCCCACCACCCTCCCCTCCACACTTTTTCCGCCCCCTCCCTCACCAGCCCCACTGCCTCTTCTCCTCCCCGCCCCCTCCACCCCTCCACTCCCCTCCCCACCCCCACCGCCCCCTCCCCTCCCCACCTCCCCCATCCCTCCTTCCCCTCCCCACCTCCTCCATCCCCTCCCCTCCCCACCTCCTCCATCCCTCTCTTCCCCCTCCCCACCCCCTCCATCCATCCCTTTCCCCTCCCCATCCCCTCCGCCCCTTTCCCTTACCCACCCCCTCCATCCCCTCCCCCCTCCCCACCCCCACCACCTCTTCTCCTCCCCTTCCCCTCCATCCCTCCCCACCTCCTCCATCCCTCCCTTCCCCTCCCCACCTCCTCCACCCCCTCCCCTCCCCACCTCCTCCATCCCTCCCTCCATCCCTCCCCACCTCCTCCACCCCCATTCCCTCCCTTCCCCCCTCCCCATCCCCTCCCTTACCCACCCCTTCCATCCCTCCCCCTCCCCACCCCCACCACCTCTTCTCCTCCCCTTCCCCTCCATCCCTCCCCACCCCCCTCCTTTACCCCCCCACCACCCCTTCCCCCCCTCCATCCCTCCCCCTTCCCCACCCCCCACCACCATAACAACCACACATAAAACAATCTCAGAGGAAGTTATTACAAGCCGCAACAATCGCCTTTTGCCATCAGACATTGCATCTAATACTCCTGTTAATTGCAATTATCATCTAACTACGCGAGAGAGAGAGAGAGAGAGAGAGAGAGGGGGAGAGGGGGGGGAGAGGGAGAGAGAGGGGGGGAGAGAGAGAGAGAGGGAGAGAGAGAGAGAGAGAGGAGAGAGAGAGAGAGAGAGAGAGAGAGAGAGAGAGAGAGAGAGAGAGGAGAGAGAGGGGGGGGGAGAGAGAGGGAGAGAGAGAGAGAGAGAGAGGAGAGAGAGAGAGAGAGGAGAGAGAGAGAGAGAGAGAGAGAGAGAGAGAGAGTGTAATTAAGTGCCTCTGGCAATGAAGGCAGAGGGGTGGGATGGGAGGGAGGGAGGGGTGGGAAGGGGAGGGGAGGGAGGGAGGGACGGGGGAGGGACGGGGGTAGCGAGGGAAGGAGAGGGAGGTGTAGGATGGGAGGGAGGGAGGGAAGGAGGGAGGGAGGGTAGGGTAGGGGAGGGATGGGAGGGAGGGAGGGGGGAGGGAAGGAGGGAGGGAGGGAGAGTGAGAGAGAGATTGAGAGAGAGAGAGAGAGAGAGAGAGAGAGAGTGAGAGAAACCAGACAGACAGACAGAGACAGAGACACACAACCAGACAAACAGACAGACAGAGAGAAACGGAAGGAGAGTTGTTTGTCCCTCTTAGATGAAGATCGACGGAGAAGGCTGAGACGTGATGCTGCGTCAGGATGCTGAGTGAGAGAAACGGATATGCAAAAATACGTGTGTGTGTGTGTGTGTGTGTGTGTGTGTGTATGTATGTATGTGTGTGTGTGTATGTATGTATGTATGTATGTAAGGATACCCACACATAGTTAGATATATAGACAGACTAATAGATAGATAGATAGGTAGAAAAACAAGGCTGAGGAGATAAAAGGAGGAGGAGGAGGAGGCGGAGAAGGAAGAAGAAGAAGCAGAAAAAGAAGAGGAAGAAGAAGAAGAAGAAGAAGAAGAAAAAGAAGAAAGTAAGAAAGAAAGTAAGAAAGAAAGAAAGAAAGAAAGAAGAAAAATAAAAATTAGAAATAAAAAAGAGAAAAATAAAAATAGAAATAAGAAAGAAACAAAAGAAATAGACGAAGAAGAAGGCCATGATGACGATAGTGAAGGAGAATAAGAAGGAGGAGGAGAAGGCAATGGACGAGGAGCAAGTAATGAAAGACAACAAAGCAAGAAGCAATATCGAAAGAAAAAAAAAGAAGAATAATAAACGGAAGACAACAAAAGCAAGAAGTAATATCGAAAAAAAAGAAGAAGATAAAGAAGAAGAAGAAATGGAAGAAAGAAAGAAGAAGAAATGGAAGAAAGAAAGAAGAAATGGCAACAAAAGCAAGAAGCACTATCGAAATAGCTCGGGATCAAACGGCCGAAACTGGCGAATCGGACGCAAAGGTCAGCAGAGAGACAAAAGCGAGGAATCGAACAGCGTCGTAGAAAACCAAACATAAAGAAACCCACATAAAGAAACCGCACGTCGAGACCAAACAAAAAAAAAGAAAAAAAAGAAAACCACATAAAAGGAACAACGCAAGATTTTAGTGTTTGCAAAGTAGAAGTTTGTTTAACATTTTCAGTATGTGCGAGAGAAGTTGCAAACAGTGTTGTTGTCGCCGAAATTAAACAGCACAGTTTGTCGAGATGACGCACAGTTTAAAAACCGCCCCCGTCTTTTGTTTGCTGAGATGCAATATCCATGATTTTTACTCTTTTTTTTTGCGTGTCGTTAGCGGAGAAGAAAAACAAAGATAGCATTCTTTTTTTCTTCTTTGCGCGAAACTGCAAGAAAACAACCATAAACAAAAATCCAAAGTTACAAACCAATATTAACCAAGACGGTCTATGTTTTGGTAAAAAAAACACTCTAGTTCATTATTCCATTCTCAAAGAAAAGAAAAACAGAAAAATATGATACACGCAGCATAACGCAAAGAAAACGAATAAATAACTAGAAAGAGAGAGAGAGAGAGAAATGAAGACACGAAAAGTAATAATCCATTTGAGAGAGAGAGAGAGAGACACAAAAGAAAAGAGAGAGAAAGAAAGAGAGAGAGAGAAAAATGTAGAAACGAAAGAGAAGAGAGAGAGAGAAATGAAGGCACAGAAAATAATAGATACAGTTGAAAAGACAGATATATTTTGGCGGAGTGTGTCAGAGACTCCACTCGGTGCGGATTTCAGAAAGACAAGTTTAATTCAAAAACTATTTCGAGTCACCATTCACAGAGACAGAAGAAAGGAAGGAAGTGGGGTAGTTGATAGATAGAGAGAGACAGACAGAGTAAAAAGGGAGTAAGAGAAAGGGAAATAAGGGAAAGAGAGGGAGAGACTAGGGGTAAGAGAGTGAGAAAGGAGATAGATAGAAACAGAAGAGTCGCTTTTATTTCATGCCAAAATATCCTCAATAATAACAAAGAAATGATAATATCGTACAGTAAAAGAAATCCCATTAAATATCCGTCATATTTCCCAACATAACATTCTCAGCGACAATAACAACAGCTACAAAACAATAATGTCAAACATAAAAAAAAAGAAAAAGAATCCCATTAAACGAAAAAAAAAATTCCTCTCCCCCCCTGCTCCCCTTTGCTTTCCCCTTCCTCCCCCCCTCTCCTTCCCTTCCCTCCTCTCCTTTCCTTCCCTCT